GTTAGTGATGGAACTCCTTTCGCGGCACCCGCACCAGCTGCGATGATCTGTGTGTGTATGGATGTGTATGAGTCGTCAGTGATGGAACTCCTTTCGCGGCACCCGCACCAGCTGCGATGATGTGTGTGTGTATGGATGTGTGTGCGTATGGATGTGTGTCAGTCGTTAGTGATGGAACTCCTTTCGCGGCACCCGCACCAGCTGCGATGATCTGTGTGTGTATGGATGTGTATGTGTATGGATGTGTATGTGTATGGATGTGTATGTGTATGGATGTGTGTAAGTCGTCAGTGATGGAACTCCTTTTGTGGCACCCGTACCAGCTGCGATGATGTGTGTGCGTATGGATGTGTGTGTATAGATGTGTGTGAGTCGTCAGTGATGGAACTCCTTTCGCGGCACCCGCACCAGCTGTGATGATATGTGTGTGTAGGTATGTAGGCAGCCCCTCCCCCCCCCCTCCCCCGCCTCCTTACTCCTTTCGCCGCACGCACACCTGCTAGTGTGATGTGTGTGTCTAAAGATATGTCATCTCCCGCCCCAACTCCTTTCTGCGCAAGTAGTTGAATAGTTGAAGCAAATTTCCAATAAGTGAATTGAAGTTTCCAGTGTGACATGTATGTTCCTTGTACGCCATTAGTCGCGGTTGCGGCTGTTGTTGAAATAGTTGAACGTGTAAAATATTTCCTGGTAGTTAAGTCAATGGTATCATTTTTATATTGTTCACTCAATGCCCATTTATTCGCATTATGGGAAAAGATTGAAAGATTTATATTATTTAATGTGTAAGATATTAATGCATGATTAAGAATAGAATCGTAATTGATATTATTATTTATTAGCATATCATCATGTTGTTCATTTTGTCTATTGAAAGGAAAATCGAATGTTCTTAGTAAAGGATTATCTTTTCCAAATTTCGTTGCTCTGTGTAATTTGAATTATTCATTATTATTATAAAGATGAAGATCCAGTATCGATTGGCAAAAGTCATTCGAATCTATTGAAAATAAATTCTGAGGAATTAGGTGAATGACGGCAAAATAAGGATACTTTTGAATGGATGCTTTTGAAAGTTATTACAAGCTATATTAGTTGCCGGTATTGTGGAATTAAAGAAGTTTGTACTAGGTAAAATTGTTAGTAATGTGAAAATTTATGAAACTGCACAAAAAAAAGATAGTCAATTGAAAGGCTCCTATGAAAAAGTATCTCTCGTCGTTGTAAATATTATATAGATCGATGGCCCAAACACCGCTGTTTCGAATGGTGAAAACCGCAGGTTTATATCTTGTTCCTATCAAAAGTTATTCGCAATACAAGAGTGTCGGGCGACTTATGGAACACCCTATATCTCCTATATCTCCTATACCTCCTATATCTCCTATATCTCCTATA